GTTCAGATCCTCTTAAAACGACCGAGCATCTGCTGTGTGTCAGAACTTTCCTCTATGTCTGATGATTTGTTGTTTCCTCTCCCTGGACCCTCACGTGACTCCCTACTCAACTGTCTGCTTCCCCAGGAGGACCTCCCTGACTGCTCCAGCCCCCACACAGCCCCCGTCCCACACTATTACTTTCCATCCTGGAACTTACCGCTCCTGAACTTGGATGTCCATGCCTCTGTTCATGGTCTGGCCCCCAGTCCCTCAGCAACTCAGGAGGGCAGGGACTCCCTCTCTCTTGTTCTTCGCCTTAGTCCCTGTCAGGAATGGAGACTAATGACTCAGCAAAATATAAAGAATAGACGAATTTTATACAATTGCTTTAAACACTTTTTTGTTAATGCTTTATAGTATCTCTTTCTCTCTATATATGTATATATAAGTAATTATGTACACATAATAATATAATTATGTGCAATATAGAATAAAATATATGTAATGCACTGAGGTAAAGTTACATGAGAGATATGTGCATGTATCTCCCACTATATAATGTGTGTATATATATATATATATATATATATATACACACAATGCATATTTTAAAAAAGAAAGCAGCTGGGTGGGCGAGCATGAATTTGTATTTAATCCTAGGCACTGGTCTGTGGTGTGTGTATTACCTCATTTTAAGATGAGGAATTTGAAGCCCACAGAGGGTACAATGCCCATAAGCGGAGAGTCAGGATTCGAACTCATGCCCTGCCCCCGCCCCGCCCCGACTGCTAGCCCAGGGCCTGAGTGACAATGGGAATCTTCAGTTCATGGTCCGTTGTTCGTCCAGCGCTGAGGGGCTGCCCAGAAGGCAGGATCTATCCCCAGGGGGTGCCATCTACCAGAGACAGGCCCAGGTTTGTGGCACCCCTCCACTGGAAAAAGCCCTCTGCTCCCAGAAGAGAGAGAGACCCCGAGCCCGCTCCAATCACAATGGCCCAGTAACGCCTTTGTTCTTCCAGGAAATAGTGAAAAACCCAGAATTCATTCTTGGAGGGGCCACCAGGACAGATATCTGCCAGGGGGAGCTTGGTAAGTGTGAGGGGATGGGGCACGGAGAGAGGGGGTTGGAACAAGCACCCCTGGGGCCAGCAGGACAGGGCCTCTGAGCTGCCCCCATGGCAAGAGCAACATGGGACCCCCGAGGGGCACAGGGTCTGGGAGAATATGACTGCTACCACCGGCTACTTCCTCCTCTCTTCCCTCCCAGTCTGCCAGTCTGCCCCCACCCGGATGGAGCCCCGGGGCCTCCAGGCTCCTTGCACTCTTGTACCCCTGGGGGTGGGTGTGCTGCAGTGTGGGGCTCAGTTCACAGAGAACGGAGATACCCCGCGGCGCTGTTCTGGCTCCCCGCACCGTGACACGGCTAACACATGCATGCATTAACTCGTCCCTGGATCTCCGTCCTGGTCACCCTTCCTATTTTACAGATGAGACACCGAAGCTGAGGGAGGCTGAGTAACGTAAATCACAGGACTGATAGCGAGGTAGTCAGGATCTGAACTTGCTCTTAACCATTATGCCACAGGGCACCAGGGGCTCAGAGTTTGGCCCCACCTCTCCCAAACCCCCCTGGAGTTTCACAGTCTCCTTCCTAAAATTAACCTGAGAGTGCCCCCAAGTCTGTTAAAGTGGGCCTTGCATTTCAGGATTTAGCCCAAAATTGGAGTGAGTTTACCTTTATTCTATCTATGGAAAAAAAAAAAAAAGACCTCCTCAAAAACCCAAAAAAGGGGCGCCTGGGTGGCTCAGTTGGTTAAACGGCTGCCTTCAGCTCAGGTCATGATCCCAGAGTCCTGGGATCAAGCCCCATATCGGGCTCCCTACTTGGCGGGAAGCCTGCTTCTCCCTCTCCCACTCCCCCGGCTTGTGTTCTTTCTCTAGCGTCCCTCTCTCTCTGTAAATAAATGAATAAAATCTTAAAAACAAAAAAAAACCCACCAGTGGGTTAGCTTATGAGGCCTGGCCTACAGCTGAGTTACCACCGTGCTCACCAACCAGCTACCCCAAACCAAGAACCCAGAGTCACAGACCTAGAGTGATGATAGTTGATGATAGATCAACAGATTGATCCATGATACAGTTGGTCCTTGAACAACACGGATCCACTTATACATGGATTTTTTTTTTTTAAAGATTTTATTTATTTGACAGAGAGAGACACAGCGAAAGAGGGAACACAAGCAGAGGGAGTGGGAGAGAGAGAAGCAGGCTTCCCGCCGAGCAGGGAGCCTGACGTGGGGCTCGATCCCAGGACCACGGGATCATGAGCTGAGCCGAAGGCAGACGCTTAACGACTGAACCACCCAGGCGCCCCCATGGACTTTTTTGAATAACACAGTATCTTACTGTCAGTGGATTTTCCCTTCCTTAGGATTTTCCTACTAACATTTTCTTTTCGCTGCATTCTTATTGTAGGAATGCAGTACAGAATATATAGAGCATACAAAATACATGTTAATTGACTAGGTTACCAGTAAGGCTACTGGCTGTGAAGTTTTGGGAGGGTCAAAAGTTATACGTGGATTTCCGACTGTGTGGTGGGTTGGGGGTGGGGGTCAGTGCCCCTTCCCCCATGTTGCTCAAGGGTCAACTGTACACAGATGATAGAATTACACATCCTAGCTATGACTTTGACCTTTTGAAAAAAAATTACATCCAGATTGGTCTTCATTTGTTGGGGGTCAGCCTTCTCTGGGAGATTCTGCCTGCCCCTTCCTCATCTCCTCTCTCATCTCTCCCTCCAGACTCTTCCTCTGCCTCCCCTCACTGCCCCCTCCCCGGCCCCTGCCTTCTCCCTATGTTGCTATTCGATAAAAAGGCATTGTATAGGCTCCTTTGTGTTTCAAGGTTTTCGTTTGTGGCATGAGTGCAAGTATCTATTTGGAATTCCAACTGCATATTTAACCTTGGTTGGTGTTGAATATAACTATTATTTTGTAACACTTTAAAAAAATTTTATTTATTTGAGAGACAGAGAGAGCACGAGTCGGAGGGTGGGCAGAGGGAGAGGGAGAAGCAGACTCTCCACTGAGCGGGGAGCCTGACCATGACCATGTGGGGCTCAATCCCAGGACCCTGGGATCATGACCTGAACCAAAGGCAGACGCTCAACCAACAGAGCCACTCAGGCGCCCCATTTTGTAACACTTTTATTACTTCCAAATACTGTACATAACATCTGGATAAGCCAAGAAGGACAACAATAAAATGAAGGGCGGTGAGCCTGACACCCAAAATAAGAGCTATAACATGACCAACACCATCGCCAGTCCCTCCCAGCTAGCTAGCAGCCCCTTGCATGCTCTTGTCCACCCTGCTGCCTGACGAACTGACCTTCAGAGGGTACCCTCTTCTGGGCAATGCCATGCATCCACACAGGCCCAGCAGAGAGATAAAGCCATATTGCTTTGTTGTTGAGTTTTTTCCTTTGCTTTAAATTGTATGAATAGCACTGGCTTCTGAATGCCCCCCTTCAAAAGCTCAGGGCCTTCCCGGCTGAATAGACACGAGGTGCTGCGCTCTAGGAAAAGAAACGCATTTTCCTACATTGGGCAAAGATCTAACTTGGAGAAGAACCGGGAGGAGGTCAGTGTACAGCAGGGGGCCCCCTCCACCCGGACTCTGGCCAGGACCACCCCAGAGCTGAGAGCAGGAACCGCCCCCCGCCCCCCGGGAAGCACTCAGTGAGGTTTGCTGAACAAATGATCCTGAAAGATTCTGTGTCCCTTCTCATTAGCATCTCCCCAAAGCCGGACCCCAGGCTGTTAAGAGCAGTGGATGCTTGAGGAACCAGTTGGCATGTTCCCCCCGGTGACACTCTAGGGAAAGCCAGAAGCAGGGTGACTCTGCAAGTAGCTTTCCTGATGCTACACCCTCTGAGAGTCGCTCCTGCCTGTGCACAACAGTCAGAAAGGGGTCGTGGGCTGTATGGTATTTTCCAGAAATGTGAACCCCGAGGAAGCCAAGCTAAGTGTGCTGGGGTCTAGAATTCCAATGACGGTGGTGTTATCTACTGCCAACAAAGAGATCAGAGATAAAACAGAGAGGTTGGGGAAATGGATACTTGCAAGTATCTGCTCACACGGAGCTCATAGGCAGCCCTGGCAAGAGGCGCTGGTCCCAGCCTCAGGGCGGGCGAATGGATATGTGCGAGAGGCTGGCACAGCACAGATAAAATGCTGTCTGATGTCTGACTTCCCTTTGGAGTTGTCCTCCAGGTGTGTGTCAGTGTGAAGTCACGGCTGCAGAAATCAGTAGACCGGTCAGCAAATCTTGAAAATGAAAAATAACTGGAGCTACTCTCATCTCTAACTCAACCGAGTCTGTGCTGTGGGGAGGCCTCAGTCCCAGAAATGCATTCCCCGGGCGCCACGGGGGGCTATTTCTGAGGACCCCCAACTTCTTGGGCTGTCGCTACGAAATGCCTACTCACCCAGCCCCGCTGACACGAGCGTCCGCAGCCTTGGCGCTCTGGTGGGGAAGCCTCTGGAAATGCACAGAGCTGATGCATAATGGAGCGTCAGTCTGAAACCCAAGTGAGCATGTCCTATAGCATGGCCCGGACAACAACAGCTGTGCGTGATAAACCGGGCACGGAAAGAGCCAGGAAGGGAGGCAGAAGGGAAGGACAGAGGTATCTGTTGGTATCCTGTCCGTTTTCCTACATGCGGAAAAGATGTGGCCACATCTGGAACGCCCCACCTCTCCTTCCAGCATAGAGTTTTCCCATTCACTGTGAGTGGGCAGTGAAAACCGTGATGTCTGGCTCTCGTTTTGCAGGGGACTGCTGGTTATTAGTTGCCATTGCCTCCCTGACGCTGAACGACAATGCCCTGGCTAGAGTCGTCCCCCAGGACCAAAGCTTTGGACCCGGTTATGCCGGAATATTCCACTTCCAGGTAAGAGGGAACCTTGACCGGAAGTGTTAGCTCTTTGGGGTCCAGCCTGATGTCATGAGCCTCTTCAGCTGCTCGGTAACCCTGGGAGGAATGTGACCCCATCTGCTTGAAAGCAGCACCCCAAACCGCGCTGTGTCACGGGATCGCCTCTCAATGCGGGAGGAGGACGTGGTGAGCCCTTCCGGAAAATAGACAGTAAGACTTTACGTGCGATGGTGGCAAGTCTGGACGTCCTTGCCAACGGGTTTTAGTCTTTGGAACAGCTTATGCTTTTAGCATAAATGGCCTAAAACAATTCTACTTCCCTGGGACTGGATTATTTCTCATAAACTGGGACATCCTCCTTATTGAAGAAATACAGATTTGGAGACGTGAGTGAGGGTAAGAAGTAGAAATGGACAGAAGCATGGAGGCATCGCCTGCTGGAGGTCAGGGGGTGACACACGTCGCCCCCGTGGGACTCCCGCAGAGCCACCCCCGGGGCACGGCCTGCCTGGGAGCTGGTTTCCGGTTTGCTCACGGCCCTGTTCTCTGTCCTCTCCTCCCCCGCAGCCCCTGCAAAGGGCCCCAGCTCACACTGACGCCTGCCCTGCCCCGTACGTCTGCGGGTTTCCTCGGGCAGATTTCACACACTGTCTGGAAAGAGGACTCATATCTACCTTGTGGGGTTCGCAGAACTAAAAGGGATCCTAGGAAGGTGGCAGCATGGGGCTGGCACGCACTTCTGCCCCCGCACGGTCACCTTCCCCTCCCGGGCCACCACACTGTCCCCTCCGTCCCCAAGGCCGGCCGTCTGAGTACTCCCTCCCTGCGCTGTTGTGCTCCGCTGCCCTGCCTCTGATCGGCTGGGGCTGCCCTGTCGGGGGCCTGTCAGTCACATGCTGACGTCTGGGAGGGGGCGTTGGGAGTGAGGCCCCCTCGCTGCTCCTCTCCTGTCCTCAGCCACAGTGCGGGGGTGAGGGTGCCGGTGGGGCCATCTCTGTGCTGCCCTGTAAGAGCCCCTGAGCGAGCGCCCCCCTGGAAGGCCAGCCCGGAACTGCCCCCAACCCTGCACCTGCTTCGGGAAGCCCCGAGCAGTGCGTCCGTGGAACCCTAAGTCACAAAGGCCCCCAAGAAAGCCTGAAGTGACACGTGCTGGGAGGGTGAAGCCCCCAAGCGGGAGCCCAGCTGGGAGGGGGGGGGTTGTAGTGTCCCACGCCGTGCCGCCTCCCAACACACCCCTTAGAGCCCGTCACTGGGAGCCCGGGGGAATATTCCTTCAAACACACACAACCTCGGCCAGACGCTGGGCGGCCTGGTCGGACTGGGGCAGGATCACTGACACGGAACCGCTTGGGATGCCCCGGCAAAGCTGGAAATGGACCTCTCCCGGAGCCCCTGCGTGTGCTCCCCTCTTTCTACTTTCTCTTTCTTCTTACCTTAGTGTCTCTCTCGGGCCAACTGAGTGAGAAGGAACGCACACGCAGATACACGCACGCACTCAGACGCACATGCACGAGTGCACGTGAACACATGCACACACGTGTGTGAACACATGCACACACACACACATATATGCACACACACTCACCTCGTGTCTGCACGCCCAGCACAAGTGTCCACCTGCCCCATTACAGCCCCTCTCTCTCTCTGTGTGAATGGCCAAAAAAAAGTCAGTCTGAGAGTTTCCACCCCCGGGCAAGGAAGGGACTGAAGATGAAGGAACATTAAGACGCCCAGCAGCCAGTTGACGGAAGGGCGTATAGAGAACCGCGGTGTTGCAAGAGCAGAGCAAACCCCACACTGCGCCCCTCTCTTGGGAGACAGAAGAGCTAACCCACCCCACCCCGCGGTGTCCGCGTGTGACCCTGTCCCGCCGCCCCCGGCTTTGATGGGTCCACACGGGGTCTTCAGGTGGATGTCCGCGGCGGGCGGGGTGCTCAGCCTGTGGCTCAGTGGACACAGTCCAGGTAGCCCCATCATGGGACCTGCATGTGATTTTCCTCAGGACCCTAAGGGCAGTGTGTGGTCTGAGGGAGAAAGAGCCAAGTGATAAACATACACGGACGGGGCTGGACTCCCCTGGGGCTCACCCCCTGTGCTTTCCATCTCCGTCCTGGCCAACAGTTCTGGCAGCACAGTGAGTGGCTGGATGTGGTCATCGATGACCGGCTGCCCACCTTCAGGGACCGCCTGATCTTCCTCCACTCCGCCGACCACAGCGAGTTCTGGAGCGCCTTGCTGGAAAAAGCCTACGCCAAGTGAGTGCCCCCTGCCCGGGGAGGAGGGGTGCTGTCCAGGAAGCAGGTCTCCACCCCCGGGGCCTTTCCAGGGAGTTTCAGTGAGTGGCGACACATGTCCCCCCTGTGTCTGACCTTCCAAAGAGCTGGGAGGGTAGGCGGAGGAAAATCTGGATGTGTTACCAGAACTGGTCTCTCCCAACCTGCCACCAAGCACCGTCATAGCTCAAACATCTGGGCTGTGGTAAAAGGGACCGTTTTAATCATTTTTAAGTGTACAGCTCAATGGCGTTAAGTACATTCACACTGTTGTGCAACCATCACCAGCATCCACCTCTAGAACTTGCAAAACTGAAACTCTGCACCTGCTAAACTCCAACCCCCCGTCCCCCGCGCCCAGCCCCTGGCAACCGCCATGTTGATTTCTGTCTCTGTGGATTTAACAAGCTGAGGAAGCTCAAGGTAAGTGGAACCCAAACATTTTTAATCGCCTGCCAGATGACCTTGGTTCCCACCAGCACTCTCGATGTCCAGCCCGTCAGCTTGTCAGCAAAAGGCCAAGCAGCCTGAGTTCTGTGCTCAGCTGACAGCAGAGCTCCCCTGGGAGTCCCTCTTGGGCTCATCCCGGATCTTCAGGCCATGGGAAACCTGTCTTCAGAGACGGGAACTGGGAAGCACATATGTGCTTCTAACTCTGGCAAGTGGCAAAATTAAGTGAAGGTAAACGGAGGTTTAATTGATCCTGAAATCAGCAGGACAGAATTAAAGCCATCAAAGAAGAACCAAAGGTATACTACCTGCCCCCCATGCCCATCTGCTCCAGCTAAGTCTATGCACACCCCTCCGAGGCACCCGACAGGTTTCAGATGGGCAAAGGGGCACAGGACAGCCAGGCAGCCCAGCCCCAGCTCTACCCCATGGTGAGTCCCCCACCAGGAGACCTCGGCAGGATCCTCTCCAGGGCCAGTGCCTGTGCTCTCCAGGGCTGGGCGGGCATGGCTTCATCCTCGGTGAGCCCAGCCCAGGGAAATCCTCCCCCTGCAGCTGTGGAAAAGGCTTGAGTCAGGAATTCCAGCTGGTGGGATCCAGTGGAATTTGAAGGGTATTCACTCAAAGAGTGAAGAATAAGTTTCCTAAAAAAGAAAATCTTTAATTTTTGGTCATTCAAAGAGGCCAAAAATGATTGGGATGTACCTCACCACAAAAAGATGTCCAGATGGCAAATAAGCACATGGAAAGATGCTCAACATTATTTGTCATTAGGAAATTGCAAATGAAAACAATAGTGAAATACCACTACATACTTGCAGCACCAATTGCTGACAAAGATGTAGAGCAAGAGGAACTCTCATTCACTTGTGGTGCGAATGAGAAATGGTTCAGCCATTTCGGAAGACATTTGGCAGTTCCTTATAAAACTAAACATAGTCTTACCTAATAGTTCAGCAATCACACTCCTTGGTAAATGAGTCCGGTAAAAAGTCATTTTTACCCAAATGAGTTGGATAAAAACTTGTGTCTACGCAAAAGCTGCACACAAATATTTATTGTACCGTTATTGATAATTGCCAAAAACTGGAAGCAAACAAGATGTCCTTCAAGATGAATGGATAAACAAATGGTGGTACATCCAGGCAATGGAACATTATTTAGTGATTTAAAAATGAGCTATCAAGCCATGAAAAGAAATGGATGAATCTTAAATACATATTGCTAAGTGAAAGAAGCCAATCTGAGAAGACTACATGCATACTGCATGATTCCAATGATATGACATTCTGGAAAAAGCAAAACTATGGAGACAGGAAAAAGATCAGTGGTTGCCAGGGGTTCAGGTGGAGGGAAGGACGAGGTAGGGATGAATATGTGGAGCACAAGGGATCTTTTTAAGGGTGGTGAAACTATTCTGTATGATACTGTAATCGTGAATACGTGACACCGTTCATCTATCAAACTCATAAAACTTCACAGCACAAAGAAAGAAGCTTAATACATGAAGATTTAAAAATCATAGAGAAGGATGAGGAATCCCAGGATGAAATGCAGACCATGCATTTCATCTAACTGTATTGCAAATTTATGCAACAAACTCATTGCAGGGGTAGGAGAAAAAGGAGCTGACCTGAGTAACTGTGGGCATGAATGGGGTCTGTCAGATTAAAAGCAAAAGGAAGCATTCTACTCAGGCTGATTAAGTTGTTTCTCATACGGGCAAGGACAGCAATTCTGATACCATTATATGTATATAATGAGTTGAACAGTTAAGGAGATGGATGGCAGGTGGTGGAGCTAGGTTTCTCACTTTTGGAGAGAAGGTTACAGAGAAGCAAGGGGAGGAGGCTTAGAATGATGCCTGTGGTCGTGGGTTAGGGCTGGAGACTCAGGCTGCTCTCACGTTTTGTTTAATAGAGATCGTTCCAGATAGACACATGTATATATCCTGGGTCGGTGTACATACATCATCTCCTCACTTTGTCAGCACAGGGGGCCTAGAAAGAACAGCAGCCCCACAGGAACAAGCACCCCTACTTCCCGGGTCTTGGTCTCTAATACCGTTTTTCCAAAGAAAGGAACCAGAGATCCTTGGAGACAAGGTTGATTCTAGGACTGGGCCCGGGAACTCACAGATGAGCCTAGAGCATCTTGTAGTACCAAGAAGTGAAAGAACATGTTTTACACACACACACACACACACACACACACTGGTGGGGTTACGTCAACAGGACGCAGGAACCAGCTGAAGAGGCTGAAAGTAGCCAAAGCTGGGACAGTTTGAGCAATAAAATAAGTACTTTGGATTATAAACCAAAGTACAAAATAAATATCCCTGAGTCCATATTGATATAAATAAATGACTGAATATAAATTGGAGAAAAGAATAAATCTTGCACGTAGAAGAATTGCAAGTAATTAAAGGTGGAGCAAATCCCTCTGCTCCTGAAGGGAGGGCTGCTCATAATGGTGTCCTGCCAAAGAGGACAGCGTGGACAGGGGGAGGGAAAGTAACTACAGTGGAGAAGCCTAATGGACATGACCTCACTATCAACAGCGATGGGTCATGATGACAGTATGGACCCTGGATACAACATGATGAGAAGGACATGTTACTTCTGTGGTCTTCCTCCCCTACACCCATAACCCCAGTCTAATCAATAGAAAAACAGCAGACAGATCCCAGTCGAGAGACATTCTACAAACACCCGACAGTATTCCTCAAGATGGCCAAGGTCATGGAAAACAAGGAAAGTCTGACACTGTCACAGCCAAGAGGGGGCTTGAGGACTCAGTGTGATGTGATATCCTGGGTGGGATCTCGGAACAGAGCATAATAGGTAAAAACTAAGGAAATAAGAAGAAAGTAGAGACTTTAATAATAATAACGTATGGGTTCAGTCACTGTAACAAGTGTACCAAGATGTTAATCCTGGGGGAGACTGGGTGAGGAGTATATGGGAACTCTACTGTTTACAAACTTTTCTATAAATCTGAAACCGTTCTAAATGGAAACGTTTATATTATATTAATTTATTATATTTGTATATTATATTAATATAATATTATATTAATATATTATATTAATAATATATTAATTATATTAATAAAAAAGACCATTATGTGGAGAAAAAATGGTTGTGAGTATGTGAGACCAGAAAGGAAGAGAAAGATCCTCAACTTTGTCTCAGTCTATGTATAACTAACACCCTCATGGTCAAGTCTTGTTCCCTGTTCTGTGTAAGATGAGGGAGAGGGAGGGAGGGAGGGCGGGCGAGCCTCATTTACACCTCACAGCAGTCCTGGGAGGGAGCATACGCCCATCACCCCCATTTTGTAAATTTGGAAACTGAAGCACTAGGTAAGCGAGTTGTCCCCGGAGCCCTCAGTTTGCAAGTGGTGACTCTGCCACTTGCACCCGCGGCCAGTCGGGGACCAGAGTCCACGCTCTTTTTTTTAAAAAAAAATTTTTTTTTTTTTAAGATTTTTTTAAATTTATTTATTTGAGACAGAGAGAATGAGAGAGAGAGAGCACATGAGAGGGGGGAGGGTCAGAGGCAGAAGCAGGCTCCCCGCCGAGCAGGGAGCCCGATGCGGGACTCGATCCAGGGACTCCAGGATCATGACCTGAGCCGAAGGCAGTCGCTTAACCAACTGAGCCACCCAGGCGCCCAGAGTCCACGCTCTTTACCACCACACTGCACTGCCTGTCTCATAGAGAGCCCAGGATCCTTGGAGCTCCACGTAAAGCTGAATCCCTGCTTCCCATCTTCCTTCCACACCACCCAACCCAGGGCAAGGCCAGGACAGACAATGGTTCTTAGAAGAGTTCGAAAAACTCTGGTCAAAGGGCGCCACCTGGTGGCCTTCCTTGTTCCCTGCAGCGGCGTCCCTGCCTTCCTTCCGAGACAGGCTGAATGGGAGCTATGAGGCTCTGAAGGGGGGCAGCACCATCGAGGCCATGGAAGACTTCACCGGGGGTGTAGCAGAGACCTTTGCAACTAAAGAGGCTCCAGAGAACTTCTATGAGATTCTAGAGAAGGCCTTGAAGAGGGGCTCTCTGGTGGGCTGCTCCATTGATGTAAGTCGTTCACTTGCGTGTTCACATTCCTGGCACTGCCCTCGGGCTGTAGACCAGCAGGTGCCCTGGCTGGGCGAGACCAGGAGCATAACTTTCGGGGCGGGGTGGCGGGGAGGCGCAGTGGTGTCAATGTTTATGTATTTTCATTAAAACAAAAGCTTTAATTTAATGCTTTTCAAATTACAAAGTTAGGGCACACTTACTGTATCAGGTGGAACAATCCTAGATCTATAAAGGCAAACTTCAATGCCCCTGCCCAAGTCCCAGCCCTGGGACACCCAGTGTGTGCCCTTCACACCCCCATCCTTACTCAGACATATGGGCATGTGCCTAAATACAAAACCATAGGAGAAGTCAGTTTGATTTTACTAAATGGAGTCCTACTCCATAGATTTTACTAAATGGAGTCTTACTCCATACTTTCCCGAAACTTGTTTTTTTCTACTTCCTATAGTATTAAAACATTCACATCAGTAGATAGGAATCTAACTGTATTTTCTCCAACGTCTTTATGCATGCAAACATACACACGTATAGTTTTACCTCACCCTGTTTTTTAAGAGAACATATTCAAGTTTTGTGTTTCCTCTTGCATTAACCTTGGGAATATCTTCTTTGCTACTAAATTATCCCTTTCCTCTGTGTTTCCAAGTTTGTGACATAGGGTTGTATGTGAGACTGTTAAATGCTTCTTATCCTCTCTTTGGTGTATGGGATCATACCTCTATCTTGTGCTGGGCTACATGATGGGGGGTGGGGTCAAGTTGCTCTGTGTGGGGGCAAAAAAGTGAACTTTTCCCTGGAGTCTGAGCTCGGAATGAGGGTCTCCTCACCCTGGTAAGAGACTGGGAATTGCTCTATGTCCCAGCTAACCATCTTAGGGGTGATCTTATATGTGTCAGGCACATGGGGGAGCAGAAGGGGCCAGGCCAGGCACAGAGCTGGGTCTGGGCAGGTAGGGAAGGCTTGACTTACCCAATGGGTCCAACGCTGCTTTTTTCACATTTTAGATCAGAAATGCTGCAGAATCTGAAGCCCGGACACCTTTTGGTCTCATTAAGGGCCATGCCTACAGTGTGACAGGAATTGACCAGGTAGGCGAAGTGAACCCCTGTGGATAGGGTACAGGAATAGACTCAGCAGTGCTAGTCCCTTACACTGATTTAGTGCATCACAGTTTAAACCACACCTTCAGACATTTTAGAGAAGGTCTCATCTAAAGGAGGCAGGCTGGAATCCAAAAGAGCAAAACAGGAGAGAGAGAAAGAGAAACATGTGATTCTACCACAGTACCAACCTGGTTTAGCTAGTGTAAGAGTCTAGGCTTTGTTTTTTCTTTTCTTTTTTTCTTCCTTAATTCTAGAGTTCTCTAGAGAAACAGAATCAATAAGATATTGATAGATGATAGATGATAGGTAGATAGATAGATAGATAGATAGGGAATGAGGAATTAGCTCCCATGATTATGGAGGCTGAGAAGTCCTATGATCTACCATCTGTAAGCTATAAACCCAGGAAATCTGGTGGGGTTGTTCCAGTCCAAGTCCAAAAGCCAAAAACCAAGAGAATCAATGGTATAAGTCCCAGTCTAAGAGCAGAAGAGAATCAAAGTCCCAGCTCAGCAGTCAGACACAGAGAATGAATTCTCCCTTCCTCCAACTTCTATAGCTCTAGTCAGACCTTCAACGGATTAGATGAGGCCAACCCACATCGGGGAGGGCCCTCTGCTTTACTCAGTCTCCCAATCCAAATGCTAATCTCATCCAGAAACGCCCTCACAGACACACCCAAAACTGTGTAAAAGCAAATATGTGGACACCAGTGGCCAAGTCAAGTTGACACATAAAAATAACCGTCAAAAGTCCCGTTCTCTGCAGCAGTGGCCCAGTGTAGAACTAGTAACCCCCATGGGTTACTAGACCCCACACAGTACCCCCTCTGACTTCTAGGGAGTGCTTGGTTTAGACAAGAGCTCCTGAAGGGACATGTGGGAAAGAGAAGGGAGGGGGAATGACATGGAAGAGGAGGACAAGAAGCCAAGGGCCACATTCTTTCAGGTTCTAGTTCAGTGAAGTCCAAAAGCCCACTTCATGCTTCCGCTGGACGAGTCTCAAACCCGGTCTGTAGAGGACTCAGCACCTCTGACCTCTCCTGTTGCTGCCCACATTTTGAGTGACACAGTCCAGAGGAGTGGGGAGTAAGGAGTGCGGAAGGAAGCCTGTCCTGCCTCCTCACCAGGGGACTGTGAGCAGAGCTTGCAGGGTGGCGGATGCAATGAGATTCTCTAGAGCTGAACTATTTGCATAGGCTCTTCTCCCCTCCTTCCCTGCCCCTAATGCCTTGCCAATCACTCCCTTGAGTAGGCATGTGATTTTTTTTAAAGATTATTTATTTAGGGCACCTGGGTGGCTCAGTCGGTTAAGCGCCTGCCTTCGGCTCAGGTCATGGTCCCGGGGTCC